ACAATTGGAGGACTTCCTTAAGCTCTGAAAGGAACAGTGACAACAACTACATTGCCATAACCAACTAAACCTGTTAAAGAGGTGTTTTTTGTTCTTTTTCTTACTTTGGTTTTACCCACACTTGTGTGATAATATATCATGTATTCAAGTTTCCTCAGAGCTAGTCCTAGAAATGCAGTTTTTTTAAATAAAAAATGCTCAGAATAGAATTGCACGTGGCCTTCAGTGACATTTTTTATTTGTGAAGTTTATGTGGGACCACATCCTCTGTTCTCTTCGTGTAACACCTTCTGTGGGATTACTTGCATAGTAGCATTCAAGCTGTTGGTGTCCACTTATGCCTTCTTGTTCCAGTAGCCCACTATTGTGTGCTGTGCAGATGCCTCTGATGCCATGCTGGTCCTCATCCCCGCAACACATGACCAGCACACCCTCTTTTTACGTATAAAGACACGATGATAAAAACAATCCTCTGGTTCTTGGCAGGTCTTTGATAAACACAACCTTGGATGAACAACTATACATGGCATATTACAATGTGTTCCATTTATTTAACAGGAGCTAACCTTCCAATGTGGCTGAATTAAAACAAGTTTGTAAAGAAGAGTGGACCAAAATGGCTCCACAGTAAAAAGAAACACTCATCACCAGTGAGTGATGCAGAAGCAGTGTCCACAACTTACTGCTTCCATGTGCTGCTAATCAAATGCACTCGATTAACTTATTACCAGCAAGAAAAGAAGAAATAACAACGATATAAATGGTTTATATTACATTGATATTGAGAGTCTTCGAAGGAACTGAATTGAAGGATTTTTTGGCGATGCTAACGCTGTAGAGACAGGCATACTCTCCGTGCTGTTCATGACTTATTGCAGCGAGCTCAAAATTGGCCAGGTAGAAGGCTGAGTGGCCAAATGCTGACTTTGATTCAGTAGTGTTTGTGTTTAAATGTGTGAAATAGAAGACGCCTCTAGGGTATATAGAATGAACAGAGCAAGTGACAGTGAGGGTGCTGCCTCATGAGACAGAAATTGTGTCAGGATTGGTGAGTTCCACTGGGGGACATCAGGGAGATGTTGGGTTTTTCCAGTTTAACCGCAAACAACAATTTCCGATAATTGTGCAAAACAGAGGAAACAAGGCACAAAATTACTGACCTACAACGGAAAGATCAGCAGGATTTCCTTGAGGATAGTAGATGACTTCACTGGCCAACACCTTTTGATATTCACAGTAGTATGAACCTTTTTGGCTTAAGTCCACTTTAGGGAAGACAAAGGTTGCAGATGCATGATCTGAGAATTTTTCCATTTGAAATGACCCTTGGGTTTTTTTCAGGAGAAATCTCCCACCCATGCGTTCTGTTACTAGCGTGCAGGTAATTTCAACTTTGTCACCCCACTTAACCTCTGCAGCAGGACTTATTGTGATTTTGGGCTTCTGTTGACCACCTGAAGCAGATAATAAATGTTTCTTGTGTAACAGCCAAAACAACTTTCTCAGGAGCAATGAGATCATTTGTCAGTTCAAAATGAGCTATGTCTCTTACCTAAGCAGATAACGCTGGCATCTTCATCGTGCCCACAGTTATTTTCTCCAAATCCATCGTGTGAACAATGAGTAAGTGCAGACTCTTGGCCTGAGCATCCCACATTATCCAGCCATACTGGACCAGAGCCGCTACCAAAATGGGCAGTTAGAGGTGCTGAAATGGCATGACCGCAATCAAGCTGTCTGCATACCACATCGGCATCGCTCATTTCCCAATCGTCATCACACACAGTTCCCCACTGTCCTTTATAGAAGACCTCCACTCTGCCGGAGCATTCACTTGAGCCACCCACCAACCGGACTTGTGCTGCATAACAGAGCAGAAAGAGTGAATACAAGTGCAAAGGAAAGTCCTTAAAACAACCAAAAAGAAGACAAAATTATAAAAGGACTTAAAAGGATTCTTCTGCATATATTATACAAAATGTTTGTATTAATGCATAAAAAACAAATACCAAAATATAATATTAATTGGATATTATATCGTTTATTAGTCCATTATGTTAAGCAAAAGGAGTATTGCAACAACTGGTTCAAGTCATGGGAAATATGACGTTTTCGCTTTTTAATGGATGAAGTCCATACTACTCAAGTCTATGTAAGATAAATAACTAGTAAGCTAGCTGAGCTTAGCTTAGCTATAAAGAAAGCATTACCTAGACTGGCTTTGTCTAACAGTGACCACTACAGAGCTTACTGTTTGGCAATACGTAGCAAGCAATAGGCAAAACAGTTGCTGGCTAATCCTACTTCCTAAACCAGATAGGTGTAAAAAAAAAAAGTACATTTTCTAAAGAAAAAAAAACACAAAAAGAAAATAATTTTGTTAAACATCAATCTGCACATGGCTGACCAAATTAAATACGACGGTTTTTCAATCCAGTGTTATAATTTGGAAATTTATGAAACCAACTTTGATATAAAAGGCCTTACCAGCACAGAGAACACCGGCATCATGTTCATGCCCACAGACTTCTCTTGTAAAACCCTTCACCGAGCATTCTTGAAGAGAAGTCACGCTGTGGAAACAAGAAGTGCTAGCCTCCACCACTGACCCACTGCCTTGGCCAAAAAAAGCAGCACCAGAAGCATTCATGGCACGTCCGCACTCCAGCAGCTCGCACACCACTCCAGCTTTACTTAGAGTCCAGTCTGTGTCACATACTGCGTGCCACTGCTCGCCGTGACGTACCTCCACTCTCCCAGAGCACTCATCAGTACTGTTAACCAACCGCACTGCCAAGCTCCCTGTGAAGTAAACAAAAAATATAGCCACAGGTATATAAGAATATTCTTCTTTAAACTGTGACGTACTTAGGTATATTATACATTATTTAAATTCAGAAGACAATATCTTAAAAAGTAAGAAAAAGAAGAAGAAGAAGCAGAAGAAGAAGCTGCCAAAATTACATTATGGAACAATTGGAGGACTTCCTTAAGCTCTGAAAGGAACAGTGACAACAACTACATTGCCATAACCAACTAAACCTGTTAAAGAGGTGTTTTTT